GCAACAGTATAAAATATAGGTTTGAAGGCAGGAGGTGGGGGCGGGGAGAGGGGTTGGGAATGTAGGTTTGGAGACCTGCAAAGTCAGGACAAGCAACAATAAGATTATAAACTAAGGTAAGAAACAGGGGAAAGGTGATGACTTTATATGAAAAAGAAAGTGATCTTGTAGGAATTGGATGATCTTGACTTGTGTCCTGTACTCAAAACCTTCTTGGAATGGTTTCTCACAATTGTCACCCCCCTCTGTAGACACCACTGAGCATTACTGAAGAAGCCCCGGTTCAACCAGCTAATACCATTTCAAGAGAAGAATGTTCGAGTTCAGTGTTGTTCCAGAGGCTGCTTTCCTACTCCATTTGACTTTCTTCTCATTCCCCATTATAGCTGGCTTTTTTAACTACTCTCCTCAGCCACTCTGAAAAGTAGGCTTACTTAAAGTCATCAGTCATCATTTTCTTCCCTCTGTCTTCAATAATCTCTTACCCACTGGATTAATCTCCCTGAACCCCAGATGTGATCAGGGACCCCACCTTAAATTTTCAATAACTCAGCATAAAGCCTTCCAATGACTAACCCTCCTGTGTGTACTTTTGATCCTACCTCCTCTTTTTCTCCCCAAAAATACTATTTCATAAATTTCTCCACCTCTTCAATCTCTTATATCCTTCTGGTTTTTGGAGCTCAGCCTACTGGCAAGAGTCTTCTCATCCCATCCCGGCAAATTCCCCTTCAGTAGTTCTCCGTTACCTTAAGAAATAAAATCCAAACTTTGAAAGAAAAAAACAAACAACAACAACAAACAACTGCATTTTCTGGCTCCAAAGCCCTTGTGGCTGATTGACCATCTCATCCTGCTTCTTGCTTTTACAATCAAAGCTTTGTTAGGAATGGCAAGTTTTCACTGCTCAGTCCTGAAAAACAAAAGATGCTGCCCTTGTTGCTTCCTTGTCCTCCCTTGTACTTAGGAAGTTACCAAGATCTGTTGGTTCACCTGTGGCTGAATGTCATCTTCTCTGCGTCCCTTCTGTCCCTGTGCTGCTTGGATTCTAGTCACTACCCCTGACTATTGCAGTGACCCCCTCGTTACTCTCTCTGCACCTGTTTCTTCACACTCTGCTTTAGGTTCTATTGCTGTTGCAATAATATTCCTAGAAATAAATCTAATTGTGTCCTGATCATGTACCTTCTCAATCAGGCTATTTCATATTGCCCACTACCACCCCCAATCCCCAACCTAGACACTCTTGATCTCTTTTGCCATGTTCCTCTTTGTCCTTTATTTTTCCTCCAAAGCATGTATCTTCTAACATACTATACAGTTTACTTAATTTTAGTGTGTATTGCATGCTTCCTACCCCACTCACTAGTGTAAGCACCACAGATTGGTATTTTTATATGTTTTGCTTACTGGCATAGTGTAAGTAATGCATCTGGTAGTGAGCACTTAATGCATATTTTTTTAATGTAGTAATAATGTCACTTTCCATTTTCTGATTCTCATCTTTTTCTCCTGCTTGTGGGATACAAACATCTAATCAAATATTTCAAAGGCTTGCATGATCTGATTCTGACTCCTCCAACTTCCACCTTCCACACACCTCCACCCTCCACCCTCCCCCGGCCATCTCAGCACCATAAGCAACTCACAGATTACTGTTTCTCAAAGTTCCTAAATGTGCCATTCTCCCAGCCCTCTCTGTTCCTTTTGGGCTGTTTTCCTCCCTGGGATCCAGGTCTCCCCCTTCCCCAGGTGGAGAAAACAGTTACTCCTCTTTCAAAATCTAGCCAAATGACTGGGCTGGTGAGCATCGACTATAAACTAGGAGGTCACAGTACTAGTATTATATTCCTGGTGAGACACATGTCCGGTATTAACATATAAACATTCAAACCTGTAAAAAAATTTTGTGAGTTTATTTGAACCAAACTGTCGGCAATTGCTGGGAAGCAGTATCTCATGGGTTTGGGATAATGCTCCAGGCGTCTTCAAACTACGGCCCGAGGGCCACATGCGGCCCGCAGAGGAGTCTGATTCGGCCCACCATGTTTTTTGGGCAGTGAGCGCAGCCGAGGTGTTACAGTAGGAATTAGTAGTTCATATAGTCCGGCCCTCCAGCTCTCTGAGGGACCGTGATCTGGCCCCCACTTTAAAAAGTTTGAGGACCCCTGCTCCAGAGAATGGCAGCTTTTCATCTATTTTTACAGATTGCAATCAAAGGAGGGGACATAGGTGGGTTATATGAAATCCAATGGTGATAGACAAGACAGGTGGGAGAAAACAAAGCAAGGAGGGGCGGGAAGGGGGCGGAAACCCTGGGATTGGATAAAAAGTAAAATGATGGACACATATTTATGTGAGTGCAAGAGAGTTAACAGTCAACAAATAACAATGAAGGAATTTGTGTTATCTGTTCTGGTGCCCAGGCACATTAGGTTGTGTCCTAAGGTTTTGAAAAGGGGAAGTTACAAGTTACCCAGGCATTTCAAGGATATGTTATCATAGATGCAAAAGACAGATAAACTCAGTTAAGGTAAAGGTTGACCTTGTCAGAGAAGATATTAGCCTAGGAGGTAACTACTCACCGTAACTGCTTTTATAAATATCACATGATCTCACTCATTTATGGACTATAATGAACAACATAAACTGAGGAACAAAAACAGATCCAGAGACAGAGAAGCATCCATCAGATCGTCAAACCTCACGGGGAAGGAAGGGAAGGATGGGGATAAGGGAAGGGGGAGATCAACCAAAGGATAGAATGCATGCATATAAGCCTAACCAATGGACACAGACAACAGGGGGGTGAGGGCATGAGTGGGGGCTGGGGTGAGAGGGTAAAGGAGGTATAAGGACACATATGCAATACCTTAATCAATAAAGAGATTTAAAAAATAAAAATAAATTTTTAAAAAATTTTAAAGAGAAGTTATTGGAGAGGCCAGCTGTGGTGGCTCAGTGGTTAAGAGTTGACCTATGAACCAGAGGTCATGGTTCAATTCCTGGTCAGAGCACATGTCTGGGTTGCCCAATCTCATGGTTGATGTTTCTATCTTTCTCTCCCTCTCCCTTCATCTCTGAAATCAATAAAAAATATTTTTTAAAGAAAAAAAAATTTTAATTTTAGACCATCCTTTGTGGTTACTTTACTGAGTTTGCAAGACTGCTATGCAGGCCTTCTCTGAGCTTGTCAGATTAGCTTGTGTCTTCTTTCATCCACACCCGGTTTGGGGCTCAATCCCCAGTAAAGGTGTGTGGGAAGCAGCTGATCAGTGATCCAATGCTCATCTCTCTCTCCATCTCCCTTCTTCTATGAAATCAATAAAAATGTGTATATTTTTAAAATTATAAAACCACTTGTTGCTTCCCTAGGGTCTTTTCCAACACAGCCAAACAGAATTAGTCATTCTCTTCTCTGTCTCATTGAATTTTACATGGTTTCCCATTTGGGCAGTTTTGCACACTGAGCCCTTTATCTCCTCCTCTAGACTCTGCTCAGCCATGTCCCATTCTTCTCTGTGTCTGCACAATAAATGCTCGCAGTGTCTGGCACAGTAGTAAGTAGTTACTTAACACAATGATTCAAAAGAGGAGCTACCAGTGTATTGAACCATGTAGTCAAAGCTTTTCAGTGCTGTCACCACACATCATGTCCAGAACCTTGCTGCCCTCACCTGCAAACTTGTGCCTCCCCCGTGTTCCCTTCTTCCATGAATGAAGTCTGCCATTCCACTGACCTCCCTCAGGCCATCCAATTAGTCACTAAGTCCTCTGGACCTTGCTTCCCAGACATCTCTCAAATTCACCTACTTCCTTTCAGTCTTGCTTCCAGGAGCCTTTACCAACCTGTCTTCATCTGTCACCACAGCATACTGCCTGGTATGTGGTGGAGGTTCCATATATGTTGAAAGTATGACTTTCCTGAATTAGAACCATTTCAATGGCCTCACATAGCCTACCAGGCTGTAAGACAGAGCTTCTAAGAACAGCCTGTCCAGGTGATTTTTCTGAAAGACAGTGTTAAAGGTTCATCAGAGGGTTTTAGATTGACCACAGCTTTAGGAACAATTTGACTTTCTAAAAAGGTGACTCCTTTGTACCCCATTGACTTTGTCAAGGAGGTTATTTTCTCTGATTACTCCGGTCTCAAAAATTCAAGTTGCACTGGGATGTGTACATGCTCATGTAAGTTGGAAAAGAATTTGTTTCATTCCAAGTTATAAAAGAGGTCAGGATGACTGTGGCCTTAAACAAAGGGTCCCCACAAAACATTACAGGTTTGAGTGTCCTCAAACGTAAAGTTATTGGGAGTAGTCTAGGTGGTCCCTAAAGTCACTCTTAGCTTTCAATTTCTAAAAATCTTCCTTCAAAAATTAACGCAGAAACAAAAAGACTAGAGGAGTCAAGGCAACTATAAAATCTAACAAATGGTAAGCGCTCTAAAATCAGTCAGCAACCCTAAGGTGGAGGCACTCAACAGAGTCCAGGGCTCCTGCAGGGCTGGGTGAGCAGGGCAGTAGGATGGAGAGCCATGGGTGCTGGCACATTGGCACTGAAATAGACAGTTGATAAATGTTTTCTCCCTCTTTTCTCAGCAGACGGTGCTATAGTGATTGCATCTGCCAAGTCTTATTTGAGAAATTGCTGGGCCAGTAGTTACACTGTCATTTGACTCTTCTGATGCCTCCCTGCCTCATGGGGAGTCTCGGTGTGTCAGGAGAGCTCTGCTCCTTCTCCTCCTCCCCCACATCTGGGTTAAGGTTAGGCAAGTTTTGGTTAGGGTCTTTGAATCCTAGGATTTGGCTGACTATCCCCGGCCTTTGGAACATGTTGGCATGACTTCCATTACAAAAAGATGAAAAGAGAAACGGAACTTCAGTCATGTGGCTTCTGTTATCTGTAACCATGGAAAACGCTGGCCATCTGTGAGGCACCCATTTTAACACTTTTTTTTCCCCCCTTCTCTCTATTTTCATCTTTTTCTTGGGAAAAACAAGCTGAGGAAGTGGAGAGGCTGGCAGCAATGCGTTCTGACTCCCTCGTCCCAGGTACCCATACCCCACCCATTCGGAGGAGAAGTAAGTTTGCCAACCTGGGAAGGATTTTCAAGCCTTGGAAATGGAGGAAGAAGAAAAGCGAAAAGTTCAAGCACACATCTGCAGGTAAGATTATTTTTTCCTTCATTTCTCACTGGGTTTTTGTTGATTTCCACTGTGTATGTTAATTAGTAGACTTTAAATTCTGTAGGCACTAAAGGAAAAAAAAAATCAAGCCTTAGAATTGCTCTTGTCTCTAATAATTATTCCATATGATTAAGACTGGCTTTTGGATTCTGTGTGTTTTCTTGTGCCTCGGAAGTGGGAGTGTTTTTAAATAACCACTTTATGTGATCTATAAATATCTGCACTTACAACTCCACCTTTTCTATAATTGAATGCTTTCATTCTAGCATTGACAGTCCATTTCTTATTTTTCATCGTTATGTTCACGGTTCCAGTAAAAATCAACACACAGCAGAAAATAAGTTATATATAGTTGTTAGCAGATAGGATAGGTTATTTCATGGAGGAATTGTCTTGAATAAGTGATTCTTGGACATGGCAGGAAAACACAGGAGAGGAGAATTGGAGCATTACTGGTGACAAAGATAACTATAGTTTGTAGCCTAGTGACAGCAAAAGGAACTTGTGGCAAGTCAGCATAGCTAAGGGGTTAAGAGCATAGACACTCTGGAGTTTGAGTACCTGGGTTCAAGTCCCAGCTCTGATGTTTGGTAGTCTCATGGCCTTTGCCCAGTTTATTTAATGCTGTACCTCAGTTTCCCCATGAATAAAAAAGGGTTATGAATTGTACCTTAAATAACTTAAAATTGAGGAGAGTTCATGTGTCACACTAGATTTTTTTAAATGAGGAAGCGTGTGCTTGAGAGTAATGTATAGGTGAAGGAGTTCTGATTTCACCTTGTTTTAGAGGAGATGCTAGAAGGGCTGTATAGATTTTTTGTTTGTTTGTTTATTCGTTTGTTTGTTTGTTTTGATTGATTTTGCTAATTATGTGTCCAGGTCATCCCAGACCTACTGTAGTACTTTTATTTATTTCTTTCTCTACATCCTAAAAAAATCAACTTGCTCTCTGTCCTCAGAATTACCACCTCCTCTATTTTTCTGGCCTCTTTCCCCTTTTCTCTCCTCTAAACATGAAAATAGGAGATATGACCTACTTTTTGTACCTGAACACTATTCCACAGACCCAGCCATTTTACTGCTAATTGCTTTTGGGGAATGAAAGAGAATAACAAAGGACAGTTGAAAAAAGTCTTGTATCTTAAACAGTCCTCATGGTAGACATCTCCAGTTCATGTTCTGATTCTGTTTTTTAGATGAAAGCCCCAGTGCCCCACTGCCATATATAACCTGTCAATTCCTGAGATTAGAACCAACTTCCGCATTCCACCAATCTCTATATTCGCCCCACTGAATTCTCCAACCTCTCGGTCATTACACAGATCTGTTAAGGTATATGTGTAGGTCGTGCATGCATCCCCAAGCACTATGGAGAGATTTACATGCAGTCGAAAGTCTAACTGGGTGACTCCTGTGAATCCCCTCTTCATGAGGTGACAAAGAAAAAAACACTTAGGCCATTGCATTGGAGAAGAGAAATCAAAATGAAATACATTCTTTAAGCAAATTACAGTGGCATCAAATTACTCATGAATCATTAAAAGTTTGAAAAAACATTCATTTAAAATTCTGTGGGGAGAGAGAATTAAAAAACATGTGACAGGCAAAAATGGAACTTTAATCATTTTTATTTTTAACTATTCTTAGCAAGTTTCTATGATTTCTGTGGCCAAAGTAGTTAAACTGATAGCTGAATGTTATGTGTGTGTAGTTGTTGTTTCTCTTTGAGAGACATTCAGGTTCCAAATTAGAGAAGCTGGAGGACATACTATGGAATATATCTGTATCACAATAGATGGATGGGTTCAAGATATAACTGAAGCTATTTTGTGGGGTTTTTTTTTTTTTAAGTCAACAGTTTACATTGTAGTGTTCCTTGTACTTAACTGGATTCAGAAATGTTATTTCTTGTTTTTGGAAAGGAGAGACTTTCTATGCTAGTTTTTAGCCAAAATGAGAAAACTATTGTCAACATAAGAATATTTAATATCATAAATTACATATTTGCTCAAGTAATACTTTGAATTACAAACTTTCCTACACATGGATAAGAATAAAATATTAAATATACAAAAGGATTAATTGATTGATTGTGAGAAGGTAATTGGTTTGCAAGTTTTAGCTGGAATGCATATATTTGTCTTGGCTGTGTATGTATATAATATCATTTCATATGCACCGTAATGTCCATGATTTTAAATACAAAGAGTAAGTCCATATATTGCATTTATATTATGTCTTTGTATTTAAAAATGTATGTGTGTTTTTTTAACACAAAATTACATTAACACAGTGCATGATTGGCTTGTTATTATTTCCACAATGAGTTACATTTATAATTTGCCATAATTCTCTACCATATACTATAGATTTTCTGTAACTCAAGATATGGGACATGTGCATCTGCATATATGCAACACCTTCAAATATTGCTTTGCAAGTTGTATAGAAATAAAAAAAGCTACATTAGAAAATTATGATCTCAAGATTTTCCTAAATTTTGGCATCAATAGATACTATACGAAATTTTCAAAGATAGATCATGTCTCATGCTGCTCATATGCCCCTCCTATTCAAAGGCCAGTGTCCTAAAGGCCTTCAGGATTAAGACCCAGGGCTGAGTTCAGCAAGGTGGCCAAAGCACTACAGGACAGGGTTCCTCTCAGAAGCTTCTCTGCATCATCTGTGAGTGCAGGAGAGCCGTAACGCACAGAACGTAAAACAATAGGTTCTCAGGGAAATGGCCTCCACCTGCTTTTCATCCTGCCCTCAGACACTCCATTCCGCCCAGGCCTGGGGAGCAATTAGGCTAAGGCCCAGCATCTTTTGTGTTATTGGCAATTGGTGTCCACAAAACATTCTATACCTGCCCCAGGAACAAAAACAGATTATAACATGTGAAACAGAACACACAGTGCCTCCTCAAATAGTCAGCTGCAGCCAACTTATCCAAATTTCTTATAAATAGGACTGTATTTAGAAAAAATACCCTTGACAGGAATAAGCTGTGAAGATGCCACCAAGTTGTGCTTTTGTTTCCTTTGAAGTTGCATGGGTTGGCCTTGGAAATCTACAGTGTGCCAAAGTTTCCTTTGTGTGTGTAAGCTTTACTGCATACCTATGGCTTTGAAGAAAAACAACAGCAAAACTCCCTCAGCACCTACCACGTGCTGAAATTGTACTTGGCCCTGGAATGTATTTGTGAGCAAAACTAGACCTTGTCGGTGACCTTGTGGCCTGCACAGTGTTGCTGGAGAGGCAAATTATCAAATCACAAGAAGAAAGCTAGGTCACAGCTATGAAAGAAAGGTCCTTGGAAGAAAGAAAGAATGAGGCATCAGGGGAACTTCCTCTGAGGGAGGGTTAGGCATTTGCATCCAGGCAGTAGACCAGCATGTGCAGAGTCCCTGCAGTAGAAAAAGCAGATGAACCTTCTAGTAAAGTAAGAAGGGCCAACGGCTAGAGAAGGGAGAGCAGGGAGTGTGATATGAAATGAGGCTGAGGCTGGAGATATAAGATTGAACCTACACTAGGCCTGCATCCTTTAGAACAAATTAGACAAGAGTGTGAGTGATCACAGATAGACCAATTAGGAGGTCATTGGCAGAGGATAGTAAATTGGACTAATATTTGGTGGTAGGAATGGATGGATTTGGGTGCTGTTATAAGGAATAAGTGATTGAACTTGATGACAGGCAAATGTAGGAGAGACAAAGAGAAGTGTCACAGTTGACATTTTCATGTTGGTTAAGGGTATGTGGGGGTGGCCTTTCCCAGAATGAGTATTTTGGGAAAATGGCAGGTTTGAAGGAGTGGGGGCAGGGTGAGAGTGTGGGGGAGATAAGATTGCAAGTTTTGGTATGTGTTTGTGTTGACCTTGTGATAGCCAGAGTTGGCAGTTGATTATATGGATAGCAAAGAAGAGGTCTGTGCTTGATATGTAAATGTTGGGTCATTTACATACATATGTCAATTAGTGATGACCAAGTATGAGATCATTAGGGAACAAGTATAGAATAGAAAGAGAGTCAAAGTTGGTTCTAATGGACAAAGGAAGAATATCATTACTAATAACTGAGTGGAGAAGGATGAACCTATTAAGGAGCTATAAAGGCAGAGACTCCAGAGGTGGAAGAAAAACCAGGAGCATATGATGTGATGGAGCTAGGACTGGAAATGCTTCAAGGATGGTATACTGAACTGTGTTCAGTACTATAATTTCAAGTGATGTATAGAAAAACACCCTTGACTTTAGTGATTCTGATCCATTAGAGGTCATTGATGATTTAGCAAAAGCTCTCTGGGTGAATTGTTTGGGGATAAATGCCCGATTAGTGTAGAATGAGAAATTAGAAGGAAAGGGAATAATAAGGCTACATCTTTAAGAAGTCTGGCTGTGAAATGAGGAAGAGATATCGGACGAGGATGGGTGATGGAGAAAACGTGTGTCTATAGAGACTCAAATGTATGTGATTTGATTGGGAGGGGGCTGTCTGTGCCTTCTGATTTGTAGTTGCTCTTTTACAATAAAAGTGACATAAACATGACCAACCAATGTGAAAGATCCCAGAGAGAAAAGGAGTTAGAAAATGTATGAGACCTAATAAATCAGGTAAGGGAACTGAGAAGTTAAGAGTGCGTGGGATGTAAAGCCCAGATAAAAGGGTTGGTATCAGAAGTAATGAGCACCTCCTCCACTGAAATGGAGGGAAGCAGTGGGCTGGCTGCAGAGATAGGAGTCAGGAACTTTCCAGCAACCCTATCTGATGGAAGAGTTTCTTCTTTAGGTAATAAGTGAGGTTGTCTCCTCACAAAGAGGAGAGGAGGGATTATTTAGAGGAAAAGCCCATTTCAGGTTGATGATTATGAATCTTCACAGTACTGCTACTTGTTTTAGCCATTTTGGCTGTCCAGGTACATCTATGGAAGAAGCAGGTAATTGAGGGCTGGATTTTTGCCAGATGGGTAAAAAGAAAAGA